CCCCAAAACCCCAAAACCCCAAAACCCCAAGATATCCCTTGGGTATTGAAATGAGATTATCCTAAAATATTATTAAACTAATGAAGAGTTTTGTGTAGAATGAATTAGAAGAATTAAAATTTATTGGTGAAATCTTTTCGAAGTTTGATGCTGATCCATAGTTTAAATTTCCTTAATTCATTCAAGCCAAGGGTTGTCAAATCAAGACCTACTCCTTGTCATCTTTCAGTATCACATCTAAAGGGAATTAGGTAAAGCTTACTTAGAAGAATAAAGTTGCCCTCTTCAAGAATTGATTCGTAGCCAGAAACAGAACTTTTTGGATCAGAGATTTCAAGTGCAACTTTTAGTCCTTCTTCGAAGCCAATCTCAGTGCATATGTCAGCACAGTTCATAACTAATGACTTCCACTGGGTCTCGAACTCTTCTTTCTCAGAAGTAGACTTTGGAGCGACTAATCTATCATAGTTATCATGGAAGATCTTGGAAATACCCAATTGGCATATGGCAACCCCTTTAGCCAGTTTAAGACTCTGAAATATCTTCAAAGCAGATCTCAGCAATTGCAAAGCTCTTATTGAATTCTAGAGAATGATCAATTGACAATACCTCATAATCGTCCCTGATCATATACAGGAATGCCTGCATTCTCTCAAGATTTGCTTTTGCAATGTCTGAGATATTTGAGATACATATGTATCCATTGATTGCTCTTGAGGCATCATCAAATTTTTCCATCCTATAAATGACTCTGAGATCTTACAAGATCAGGCTTGTGGCATAGTAAACGATCAAGAATTCTTCTTGGGTTTCATCGATATACATAAAATCTTCAGGCTCCCATTCGGTTTTAGTGACGATGTTGTACCTTAATTCAGAACCTTGGTCTAACACATAGGATTAATAGCTGAATCTTTTAAAATAGAGCAAAGATAGGGTAGAACTTACCTTCTTCGAATTTGGAAAATAATCTATACATTTCAATGTCTATCTTAAGTTCTGCCAAGTCTATGTCATTTGCTTTTGAGTCGAAAGAAAATGAGCTTGCTGTTATTTCATCTTTCTTTTCTTCTCTCGTGAAAGACACAGAAGACAGATTAGGGCTCTCAAATTGTTCATTATTTGTAAGGGATTTTGCCTTTTTAGATCTCTCAAATGCTCTGTAAATACATGCCCAAATATTGCTCTCCATGCTAGCCAGCCTTTCTTTGTCTTTAAAATTTTTCTCAGATTTGTAAAACTTATAGCAATAGCTCTTGTAAAGAGTTCAACATTTCAAGTGGTAGTCTGATTGCAATTGTTTGTTCTCTTCCAATATTTCTCAAGCTCTCTCAGACATGAACGGAAGCATGTAGTAGATGACAGGCTCTTTCATGCTGTTCTTCTCAATTATCAATGAGCTGTCAATTAATTCATTTTTGAGTTTCTTCCATGAATTGTCTCCCCAAATCTGAGTTATTTCTTCTTTGGAAACTCCTGACGGTAGTAATCCAATGAGTCAGAACAGATCAAGAGCTTCATGATTTTTCTCTCTTAGTTGAGTAATACTGAGGTCTAATGTTACTTTTAGAGAAGTAGCTTGACTTCCTAAGGCTGAGTTGTCATGCACAACATCTATCATATTGGAGTCACAGAAAGTCAAGAACAGTTCTTTCAAAGTGCAATCTCTAAGAAGGGATACTATCAAAGATATTGCTTGTGGATGGCCGCCAAGAAGTTGAATAAAAGGATGATTTTCTATCTGAACGTCAGACTTTTTCAATAAGGATCCGCTATCTAAGTTAAATTGAACATTAAGATGTTGGCCCATCCGGCTTCCTTCTGGGATGTTACATTCTTTGAGTTCTCTGAGCTCTTTGTTAGGAATGTGCCTAATGTTCTTTCATTTTTGCTTCATGAGTTCCAGAGTATCTCTATTGCTTAATGGATACAACGGAAATACTACTTCTTTGTTGTTGACGAGTTCACTCAGAGGTTTTCTTGAAGTGGTCAATATTTTGACTCTGTGGCATGCTTCCAAAAGATTTTCAAGCTCATAGATAAAGTTCTCGTGGTCATTGTTGATCACATCCTCTCAGTTGTCCAAGATGAGAAGCACTTTACGATTCTTCAACATATTTATAGTTTTGTCTTGTTTGTCCTGGACTGTTGAATAATACTTTTTCATAACCGGTTCAATCGGATTTCTAACATTTTGAAGTGCTTCTATTTCGATGTCTCCTGTAGATGCTCTAATAGACAAAGATAGCTGAGTCAAAAACATTTGGGATGAAGTGATTCCTCTCAGTTTCACATAAATGACTCCATCTCTAAATGTTCTTCTTTCTCTGTAGAAGTTAGCCAGACTCCTTGCAATGCTTGTTTTGCCGATCCCTGCTGGTCCAATCACAGTGACAACCTTCGAGCAATTGAGAGACTTAGCGATCTGGTGCATTTCTATTTCTCTGCACATGAATTCTTCAACTTTGTCAGGCACATAGTCGAACAATGGGTAGTCACTCACATCATTAAGACTTCCGAAGTCAAGGTTCTGGATAGATGAACAGATATGCTTCTTTAGCTTAGATTTAGGATTATCTTTCTGAGTCAACAGCATAAACATTCTGGCTTGTACAGGGTTGATCTCGCTTTTAACAACTTTCTGAGAAATATCAAAGGCTTCACAAACACTCATGGCTTTACCAAACAAGTGCTCATAAAACACAGAAGAAAATTTGAGGGAAGCCAGATCATCGACTTTGTCAGCTTGTCTGATGCAGATCACATGCTTAGCACCAGCATTTAAGAAGATTCTTCCTGCAAATTCAGATTGACATGAGGAGACGAATACTACTTCAAAGTTAGTTTTCCTTGCTTTGACTAAGGCTTCTAGTTCAGTCTGATAGTAATAGTCTGCAAGAGCAGTAGAGTCTTCAAGAAACAGAACATTTCCTTTTTCTTTAAATAACATTGAGGTATTTCCTACAGGTAAGTTAGGAAATTACCTAAATTATTTTTGTTGTTTTCAGCTCCATGCCCTGAGAAATGTAAAGCAATAGGGCATTCAATGACCGTCCTTCTCAAATGTTCTATGTATGATAAAGAATTAGACTCACCTCTTGTGCCAAGGCTAACTTTGTAGTTTAGGTTGTAGCTGAGGTCTTTGAGAGAATATAAGATGTCCTCAATCTCAGTTTTGAAATCCAATTGATCACTCTTCACTATTTTTCCATTGTAGTTTCTGGCCAATGGCGAAGCAAATAGGAATCCAAAATGAAGTTTATTTCTAGCCATATCTAGGGGCTCCAAGCCTGAATTTTCAATGGACTCGATACTCTTTTGGCTTTTTCTAAGCTCAATTTGGCTACTCTTCAATGCTTCTTGTAACTTAGAGATCACATCGCTGACACGGTTCTTTACTTTGAGGTCTTCAATTCCTTCAACAATTTCCTTTAAATCAAGATGAGGGAGGGTTGAAGTCAGTGGAGTTGATTTAGGATTATCCTCCTTCTTGACATCTAAAAGTATTCACTCATCTTTTTCATCTTCGTCTGAAGAAATCAAGTCGTCAACTAAATAATGAGACTAAAAATTGATACAGTCACCGAAGGGGTCATCCGCTAATGAAAGCTTGCCGAAGTTGTAAGGGTCTGTTGTTATTTCATTAGCTTTTTCTTCCTCTTCTGGCTCAGAACTTGGCTTTAAAATATTAGTAAAGTTATATCAGAGATTGCTTAGTTTAGGTTAGAAGTTTCTTGAAGAGAGATTTTGTATCAAACTCGACTCAGATTTTAACGAGATTCATAGACCTGTTAAAATATTTGAAGGCCCAAATAGTCTTTTAATTAGAGAAGTCCCTTATGGAATTATAGTTCCTTAAAAATGCGAGATTACTAAAATATTTCTTGAGGTTATGTATTCATAGCATTTCCTGAAAATTTGAGATTATATTTACGATAATTTATGTATTTTAAATATCTAGGGATTCGCAAAAGCATTACTTACAGGTTTGTCTAGCTCATTATCCTCCTGGGCATCTTTCTCTTCCTCTTTATTTCCCTGGATATCAGATTCCTCTTGGACTTTAGGAGGTATGCTTTCTTCCTGTATCAGTTCCTGTTCTTGTGAAAGAGGAGGACTAAGAACATTAATGATTTCTTGCACATCTAGCATTTATTAGAATCAGAAGGAAAGCATCTTACCTAGAAACTTTGCTGGACTGGTGTCTTCATCTTCTTCTTGAACATCAGAGTCTATTTCTACGTCTTTATCACTCTTGGAGGAAACAGAATCAGGGTTAACAGTAGGATCTATTGACGAAGCAAGTGACAAACCCTTCATCATGTTGTCCTGAGGTGCGGCAGTCAGATTTTTCTCCATTCTTGTCGTAATGTTTATTTTCTGACTTGTAGGTAAATGATCTACAATAAGATTTAGGCCAGATAAGCAATAAGGACTAAGTATTAATTCTAATAAAAATTATCTAGACTAACCTGGATTTTGCTTCTCTTCATCAAATCTGCTTTCTTGTTCATTGAAGCTATACTGTATCTGTTGCATTATCTTCATTTGCTCTTCAATGTTAACTCCTTCAATATCCACTTGGGATAGATCAGATTCAAGATCATCTAGAATTATTTCAAACAAGAAATTACTACTCAAAGAGCTATCCACTTCTGAAATATTTAAGGACGGTTTTTCTGGTAATGCTACTTGAGCTAAAAATTATTAGCTGGATGCTACCTAAGTCTCTCTCCTTTGACTCCTCCAATACTGGTGAGGGGCCTCGATTAGTAGGTATATTATGCTTCGTTGAAGAATAACTCTTCCTTTCATTTTTTAAGATACCGGACATCTTTACCTTCCTTTCTGGAAGGACTGATAAGCTAGCCTATAGGTTTGGAATAAACTAAATACTCCTGTTCTTTTGTGAGAGCTATACATTATGGGAAGGAGCATACTTTTCAGACTCATTGATGGTAACTTTCTTGTGATATTTTGATGCTAAATCTGGCTGAGGATCTAGAAGAAATGATGAAGTCACAATTGGGTCTTACCATCATACATTTGGAGTTGCTCAACTCTCAGATCTATCAGACTCTCAATGAACTTGTTCTTATCAATTTTGACTGTTTTGCGGGTGTATGAGTCTGAGAGATATATTGAAGATTCATGGGTTGCTAGAAGAGATAACTGGGGAACCCAGTTTATGAACGTCTGAAAGCTTTCAAAGACTTCTTCTGCAGAATTTTCAAGAAACTCAAGGGAATATTGATTTTTGTTTGTTCAAAAGTCCAGATATTTTACTTCTTCTTCCACTAAAATGTACAAGTTATTTTCAATATCTTGAAGGGGATTATGTGCAAAAGAGTTTTAATGGATAAATTGTCTAATTTTTCTTTGTGTCAAACTGATTCCAAGTTCAGAATCTTTTAAAAATATTTTCTATGATAAATTGTTCGGATTTCATGATAAAAATGTTACAGAAATCATGAACATATCATTGAGCAATATATAGCAATTGAAAATCATGAAGGAGTAGCTCAATAGAACTCAAAATGTGAGTTGAAATACTATTAAGATGTATACCTTCGTCAATTTCTTTCATCATTTCCTTCATTTCATGGCTAGCCCTAATTTGCCTATCTTCTTTGGATCGAGAGACTGGCCTGTTCTTATCAGAGATACTTTTGTTCAGTTTTTCGTCAACCTCGTTTTGTAAGACACCAGGAGATTCAGGCTTATTGTTGAAATGAGTTTGAGTGCCTCCTCTAATCAAGTTAAAGTTTTTAGACTTCTCCGTTCTAAAATGGCTATAATTCTTGAGAGGAGGCTGAGAATTTCTCTTTGCTATACAATAAGTGAGACTTTAAATCTTTCCAGGTTGTAGGTACATGTTAAAAAGTTCACTTACATGATCTAGTGGAGTACTGCTTGTAGTAATTGTAGTCCCCACTTAATAAAAAGGGTAAATCCAGGCTTCTCTGGTACAAATCTTCGACATCTTCATGTTCTATGTAATCATCTCCAATAAATCCTGTATCTTTTGATGAACTAAGAGAGTTTATTGGATGCTGATCTTCTTGCTCGGTAAAGAATCCTCCGGAGGTTGACTCCTAAAGTGTAAGAAATTAGATATGGGTTATTGTTAAGAAAAAATCTTTTTCCTAAAATTAAAGATACGCTAATATTGCAGTTCAAATTTTCACTTTACCTGGTATTCTGCTTCTGAATCAACTTTTGCTTTTGTGGATTTTGAATAACTTTTTGTTGATTTCTTATAGGATTTAAGAGTGGGAATATACTTTTGGATTAAAAATACTCTTTTTCTTGATAGCAATCTTGTTAGTATCCATTTAATTAAAAGAATTAATCAATTACGAGCTAGTATATTGGGGTTTTGGGGTTTTGGGGTTTTGGGG